TTTTCCGCGAATTTTGCCTCACTTTTCCGTTATTCTTTCCTCATTTTTCAATAAGTATAAGCTCACTTTTCCGCGATTTTCGCCTCACATTGCCGCAATTTCAACCTAATTTTTCCATAATCTTTACTTTTGTTTTTCGTATTTATAACCTCATTTTTTCTCATTATAACCTTGCTTTTCCGCCATTTTTACTCAACTTTTTCGCAATTAGGGAATCCAAACCACGTGATTTTTGCCAACCAGCCGGCATTTTGAAATTTTTATGAGGTTAGAATACGGGTTTTTACATGTCAACGATGTCAGAAAAGTGTCAGATTTGAGAACTCGTCCCGTGTATTGATAAAGCCTGGTACTCATAAAAGCGAAATTCGCTCTTTTTTCAACGTCAAATTGTCGATGCAATGTCAAAAAAGAGCATTATGAGTACTAGGCTTAATCCTGCCAAAAAAAACATATGTGTTTTGTTTATTGTTTGCCAACCAGACGCCATTTGGACAGGTCGTTGGATTGCCTAATTCCAACATTTCCAACCTTATTTTTCCGTAATTTTTACTTCTATTTTTCGTAATTCCAACGTCACTTTCCAGCAATTTTGACACTCACTTTTTCGCAATTTTTGAAAAGTTACGGAAAATTGCAGGAATTACGAAAAATTACTGGAATTATAAAAATAAAGAGAATTACAAAAATTATAGGAATTATGAAAATCACGAATTTTTGAAATTATGAAAATTACAAAACTTGGGGAGAATTTAAAAATAACGAAGTTTTTTAAAAAATTAGGAGAATTAAAAATAAGTACAAAAAATTACGGGAATTACGAAAAAATTATGATTTTTGAAGTTATGGGAAAATTGCGAAAAAGTTATGGGGGAATTACGAAAATTATGAGTTTTTCGAAAATGCAATAACTAAGGAAAAATTGACTTTTTTAAGCAAAATTCATTTTCTTACATTTTATTGTTTTTCTAGAAAACTGGCAAAAGAATAATTGTGGAAATTTTTCAGAAAAAAGAGGAAAGTGAGGATCTCATTAAAACAAAATTTCAAAATTTTCCAGTAAAAAATCACTTCAGGAAAAATTCTGGAAAATTGACTTATTTAAGCAAAATTAAGGAAAATTCATCCTCTCACATTTCAATTTATTTCTGGAAAACTAATAAAGCAAAAGTTGTGAAATTTTTCCAAGAGAAAGAAGAAAATAAGGAGCTCATTATAGGAAAATTTCGAAATTTTCCAGTGAGAAATCACTTGGAAAATCGACTTTTTCAAGTAAAATTAAGGAAAATTCATCCACCACAAGAAATATTTTGAAATTTTTACAGGAGAAAGAGGAAAGTGAGAAGTTCATTATATGTATGTATAAAAATTTCAAAATTTTCCAGTAAAAAATCACTCCAGAAGAAATTCTGGAAAACTAACTTTTAACCAAAATTCATTTTTTTAATTTTAAATTTTTTCTGGAAAACTGGCAGAAGGAAAATTTCAAAAATCTACAGTGAAAAATCACTCTAGGAGAAATTTTATTTATATATTTTCGGATAACTGAATAAATTCTCTACTAAGTTAAAAAATGTATTACAAAACAATAATTTCGAAGGTGCTCCATGAATTAATCTATGACATAACTTTTTCTCTAAGTTATGACGTCATCGATGACGTAAGTAAAAACTTGCGTGCCGTGAAACAAACTATATGTTTGTTTGAAATTTCAGACATAAAAAAATCAATTTTTTTTAAAAAAAGGCAAATGATGACGTAAGTACAAACCCACAAAAAATGGTGCTGCAACACCACTCAAATTTGGAGCCTAGTTGCGCTTATGCTACTCGCTTTGGCCAATTTTGCGCACGTTTCTGGGGAAAGTTATTAAGGCATTAAAAATTTGCACTTTCCCCCCCGTTTGTCGAAAAATTAAAAGATCCTATCCTTGTCTCCCCACTCTCCCCCCCCCCCTCGTTTTTCAAAAAGTTGAAAAATCCTTATGCCACTAGGTTCACCTAATTTTGCACAACTTTGCACACCTATTTTCAAATTTTGCAAAATGTGCACTTTTCCGCCGGTTTTTTGAGAAAATTAATAGTTATTTTCCTAACAAGTGCGCAAAGTGATACTTTCCCGCACGAAAAAGCAGTTAGACGAACGACGCGAAGCGGAGTTCGGATAAGCTTTGAGTGCGGGAAAGACACTTTGCGCAAGTGTTAGGAACAATATTCTTTCTACGAGTATCTTAAAAAAGTAAACTCTGAATTGTTAAAATATTAGAAAAATCAACCAAATCAAAATCTTCAAAAATCATTTAAAATTTATTGGAATTCCTCAGAATGTTTTTTAAATTAAATACCCAAAAATCTTTTCACATCTTCTGGAATTTCTAGAATCAGCAAGAATTTTTTCACGAGTCTCTTAAATATCAAAAATTTTACAAATTCCTAGCAGTACAGACTGGTCCAATTTGGACTCCCTTGATAGGAAACATCATGTTAACTAAGCGGTAATTTCAATTAAAAACTTTCATTTTGAATATTAGTTTATTCAGAAACCATCAAAACATTGAAAAATCAAGTATAACTATGGTAATTATGCATAACAAAAATGAGTGCGCAAAGAGTTTCCGTGCGCAAAGTTCAACTTTGCGCACGCAAATGAGTGCGCAAAGTGATTACTTTGCGCACGGAAGTAGAAATTTTTTTTTATGTTACTCAATTCGGGTTGAAAATAAACGTACAAAATTGAGTGAACCCAGTAGCAAGGGTTTTTCAATTTTTTGACAAACAGGGGAAAACGTGCAAATTAATACAACATTCAACTCCCAGAGGAATGTGTAAAATTAAAAATAAGGTGTGCAAAATTAGCCGAAGCGAGTAGCATAAGAATTTTTCAAGTTTCAGATAAACGGGGAAAAAAGTGCATATTTATCACACCTCATCACTTTTCCCAGAAGAGTGTGCAAAATTTGAAAATAGGTGTGCAAAATTGTCCAAAATTAGATGAAACGAGTAGCATAGGGGTCTATCAATTTTTTTAAAAACGGGTGGGGTTATGCAAATTTTTGATACGATATAACTTTCCCTAGAAAAGTGTGTAAATTTTGAAAATCGGTGTGCAAAATTATGGGTTATTTATTTTTGAAATTTGTCTATTTGTCGAAAAAAGCAAATTTTCAAAGACGGGGGTAGTCCTGACAACCTGTTCACCTCTCGACCTGTCATATTTTGACAGCTGTCAAAAATTACATTTGACAGCTGTTGAGTATTCCAAATTGTATTATCATCCGAACTTAAACTGTATGCAAAATTTCAGCGAAATCTATTGCGAAGAAATGGTTCACAAATCTGCATCTGTTACATTTGACAGTTAACACCTGTCATCAGTGGTCTGAAATGTATTATCATCCGAACTTAAAGTGTATGCAAAATTTCAGCAAAATCCGTTGCGAAATAATGGTTCAAAAATCTGCACCTGGCACATTTGACAGTTGACACCTGTCATTAGTGATCTAAAATGTATTATCATCTAATCACCTGAACTTGAAGTGTATGCTAAATTTCAGCAAAATCCGTTGTGAAGATATGGTTCAATCTGCAACTGTCTCAATTTGACAGTTGACACCTGTCATTAGCGGTCTAAAACCTTCTTATTATTATTGCCTTTCATATTAAACATTAAACTGGTTTGAGGCACATCGATCGGATAGTTTCAAAGTCTATAACGGACATAGGTAGACACACAGACAGACAGACAGAAACAATTTTTGTGTTTTATTCCTCTATTTATTAGTAACAGAAAATTACTACCCACAAAAATACATAACTATTTACCTATTTATTATTTTTTTTAAATTATAAAATATTCCTATTCTATGGTAGGTATATGTATAATTAATAAGTACCTATATAAAACACAGGCATTCAATTTGTTATACAAAAGACAACTTGGCAACGCAGCCTAGCAAATACGCGTGCATTTGGTGCCTCAAATTAATTTAATCGCAGAAACGACTGATTTTACTAGGACACTAGCGCCATCACGCAGGTTTATATTTTCGCCGCCGGACGGTTCTTCTAGCATATTTATTTTTTTGCTATATGGGCATGTGTAATATTTTGAAATAGGAAAAAATCAGGCAATATTACGAAATGATGGAAGTAGAGAGGCCTGATTATTCAGAAACAAGATTCTATTGGTTAGAGCCTGAACGACAGCACGCAGTGGCGTGGTTATTGGCGAAACTAGAGAATCTTTTTTCTAATAATTTTATTGGTTTATTTCCTTGGTGTTTTCGGTGCCACTGAACTCAAAGACATGGCTGTCATCAGACGGTGTCAGTTGAGGTGTCAGTGAATATTTTTAGGTAACGCCCCAGTTTTCTTCCCCCTTTCGTCTCTACTAAGTTACCACTTGCCAGACTATATGTATGTTTAAGTTCTATTTTGTGTACTATTTCTCAAAAAATAATATTTTTACAAATACCTAATTGTATTTATTTTGAAATTTTTTTTGATGGTGGCCTTATTAGGAGCTTAGTGATCCAAATAAGGCCAATGGTAAGCGTCTTTGTACGCAAAAACCACCACTTATATGAAAAATAAATAAATTGGTGTTAATATTCAAGTAATAGAAGCGTAACACTTCACATATAAGCTCGTGATTTTTGTTGGGTTTGGTAAATAATGCTTGGAAAAAAATGAAACTTCTTAACATGGCCTTATTTGGGACAGGTACCTTATTTTTATTTACGGGTCTTTTGAAACAATCAATTTTTTTGACAAATTTATTGAATGACTTTTGGTTTTAAGAACCGACGATTTTCGACGAATGTTTTTGACGTCATTAATTTGTTTCAGTTAATTTTTATTAGTTAAAAAAGGAAGGCAAATGATGTCAAAAGTACAAACCCTCGTGAAACAAAGAGTACCTACCGATTGATCAATAATATCAAATTAATGATACGCTTTACGAACTCGAATTGACTTATTATCCATCTAATATTTTTATAGATCCTCTGAAGCCGCTTTGGAAATGATGCTGAAATTTAAACATATAGAGACGCGCGTGGTGATTCAAAACAAATTGATGCAAAAATTCGACGTTATTTTGGATCAATATACGAAAGAAATTTTGGCCGTCGATGACAACTTTACGGTATAAGTTGAATAAATTCGAATGAAATCACCAGCTAATAAATTTTATAATATTTTAGAGAAATAAAAGACACCCAAATCTGAACAGAGACATGCCGCCACACGCAGGGGCCATTTATTGGGTGCGTTTGCTATTTTATAAATTAAAAAAGCCAATTTTGAAATTCCAAAATGTCGTCGAACTAATGAACTCTCCTTTAAGAGAAGAAGCTTTTGATTCTTATTTGAAATTGGCTAAAGAATTACGGGCATATGAACAAGGTACTTATATTATATTTTAAAATTCAATATCGCTAATTTTAAATTTGAATAAAAAAACAGCCAAATTGGATGATTGGATAGATAGTTACGGACCGCTTGTGGAAAAAGTGATGCAGCTGGAGGTACTGAAAGTAACTGAAACTACTAAAAAGGCCAAGATGTTCAAACGAACCAGAAGCTCGTTAGGGCGCAGCAGTCAGCAACTATTCAGTTCTGTAACTAGTGGGAATGCAGCTGTCAAATCTTTAATACCAATCAAAAGTAAGAATATTTTAATTTATTTTCTTTAATAGTTGGTTCATATATCTAGCAGTGTTTATGAGATTTTCAAACATAAAAAACCTAAAACATAGCTTACTACTAGGAATTTAAAAAAAACTGTTACTTACAAATCAAAATTCACTTCATAGGATAGGCCAAACAGGGGTTGAAAGTTGAAAAATATTAAACTAAAATTTCAATGCCATTGGTTTGGAGTTGGATTATTTTGTAATTTTAAAATTTGTATTGTGCCAAGGCCAAGCAAAGAGCCTAAAACAGCTTAGGGGATGAAGAACTTTTTAGATTTACTATGGGACTTGAAAGCAGCTTTATTACTTTTTTTGAAATTCAATTACCTACACAGGGAATGATGCGGTGATAATCACTTCTAATGAATAACCTCCTCAATAGTCACTTTTCTATAGGAATTAGTGTTAAGAGTGAGCTCAAAAAGTTTTCCTCGAGTGTTTTGTTTTCATTTGCTCGACAGCCCGACCCTGTATAGAAAATAACTATTAATATTTTGGAATTCTAGCTGGAAAAAAACCGCAAAGACCATCATTAACTACTTATTCGGCTGTCAATTTGATGGAGAGAGTTCATTCTCAAAAAAATTTAACTTGGCACGAAATTATGGGCAACAATATTATGATCGATTTCAGCTCGAAATTTGATTTGAATTTTGATCCGTCGTTATGGAACTGCTTTAAATGTATCGAGACTTTCGAGCTGCTGAAGTTCAAATTGCCTGAGAATTTGAGATTGATTGCCATGAGGAAGGAACAGTGTTCGAAGAATGTTAACGCTGTTATTAGGATGTTGAAGATGTATAATGATATTATGGATAAGTTGACGCCACCACAGGTAAGAATTTGTAGTTCTGGCAATATTTAGGATTTCATTATACCTGACTGAAAAATATACACAATGCGGCGTCGCCATTTTTTCTATTTGGAAAAAAGTAGACAAACTGCATTTTATTCATAGATTTCTCATTATTGGTTCCTCTATTGCGGTAGACGCTTCCTATGCAGCTCTGCTTAAATCGCCACTACATTTCATTGACTTTTTCTAGTCCAATTGTAAAATATCTGCAAGCTCGTTTTTACTCGAGTCATAAATGTCGTCAAACGTCAAATTCTGATGAGGTATATGCCTCATTGGGTATGCCAATCCGTGACATTGACCACAAGTTCTGGACACACAGGCGATATACAATTATGGGTTTTAGAGTTCAGGTAATGAAGAACGGAAAAATCCAATAAAATGCAGAGTGTCACGTTTAGAAATTTAAGTTGGGCGCTGTAGACTGCTTCTGAAATATCCTGTCAAATGATACTCCCAAATTTGAAAAAATGTCGTTTAGACCAAACAACTTTTGTATTCAAGTTTTCTTTGTAAACCTGAATGAAATAGAGTTAAAGAGGGGTTCAAAATTTAGTGAATATCCCTGAAGTTGCCAAAGCTTACTTCTTCTTTCATAGCATTATACATGAGTAAAATGAAACGAGCTACGTAGCGGAGCGAGATAGACTTCGTGACAATAGTCACCTATTGTGCAGGTCGTAGATGAAAAGATTTATCACAACATATCCCTTCCTATTTGAAGAGATAAGGGTAGTAGCCAACCCCCGCTAGGGGTTTGAGCTTACAGGGATGAAGTTGATAGTGAAACGTGTCCCCTTGAAAACAAAAGTTTGCAGGTCTGATGGTTTTTTTCTAGTTATCACGTACGAAGCCGTAAACTTTGCTAGACTGTTAGCGATAGGTCACCCTGTATAAGATCCAAAATGTATTTGGAAATAGTTAACATAAAAAAAATGTCGAAAACGGTGGAGAAAGTATCATTTTTGTTTCAAACGAACCGATGTAGGAGATATTCACAGTTGTTCATTCGAGAATAATGTACGGTACGTGACCAAATTCCTGGAGAATTTTACGCTTTGTCGCAATTGTGATAACCTCTTTAGACGTCCGATATACAGAAAGCCAAATTTTCGCGAAAAAATGATTTTTGCAATCTTTGACATTTGATATCTCAGGAAGTACCTAGCACAAGACAAGGCTGAACATATACAGCTATGCAACATCCTTTTTTAACTTAAAAGCGCTTTTTAAAACTGGTACGTAGCTTTAAAAATTTGTATGGTTTAGAATACTAATTTTTGAAAGTGACCAGTTTCAAAAAGCGCTTTTAAGTTAAAAGAGGATATTGCATACAGCAGATAGACTTTTTGGTACTTCATCAGAACCTGCTGAACAGCAAAACGAAGGTCTCTGCGAAAATTTTCTTTTGCTAAATCATTCCGCAGATTTTTGTCGAATCTTATTTGACTAGAGTATGGTATATGTATACAGTGTGATTTTTTAAGTGTGCAACATATGGGGATTTTTTTTTAGTAATAGCACAACCCAAATACAAACAAGACCAAAAGTTGGTGAATGTCCTATAATCATATTAGGTGCACTTAGAATGGTTGCAAGTCAAACAGCATACAGGGTAGCTCAAACAATATCAAAGCAGGTACTGTAAAGTACCCTTATTTTAGAAAATTCAACAAAATGTTATAGAGAAAAGTTGTTTGGAATTAAAAGTTATGCCTAAATACCAAAACATAGCCTCCTAAGATTTTTTTTATTTTTTTTCGAAAAAAATCTATAATTTCTATATTTTTTTTATTTTTTATTTCCGCCCTTCTTGAGACTTTCAAAAATTAATTAAAATCAAATCAATTTTACATAACTTTGTTCAAATTCAAGCATATTTGTAAAATTACCTTAGATTTTTAATTTTTTATGGAATCACAAAATTCATGTTTGTTGCAATGATATTCAACACAACATTAAAATGTCACAATTTTTTTTTTTAACAAGTTAAAACATCACTAATGATAAAAGCCATATTAAAAAAACTCTCCTTAAAGTGCAAAAGTTTTATTTTATTTAAGTAAATATTAGTATCTAGAATTTTGATATTTTTTGAGCCACCCTGTATGCTGTTTGACTTGCAAACATTCTAAGTGCACGTAATATGATTATCAGACATGCACCAACTTTTGGCCTTGTTTGTATTTTGATTGTGCTATTACTAAAAAAAAATCCCATATGTTGCACACTTAAGTAATGACACTGTATTTAAACTACGTATCAATCGAACTCGAACACCCTAATTTTTGTTAGCTTTTTGTAAGACTATAACTCAAAATCTAGCAAGCCGATTTTGTTGAAATTTTCATTAGTGAAGGGCTGCTCTAATTGCTACTGTATGTTTTTTTTTTTAAGATAAAAGTCAAAATGACACTATGTTGGCAATACAATGTAAAATTGTCAATGCTTTCAAATTTTTTATGTATAAAAGGCTTGTGTTGCCAACATAGTTACTAAATTTTTGACTTGGCTTGGGGAATTATCGGGGGTAATACCACGAGTGCTTAAAAATTACCGATAATTTTCATGAAAGCTTGTTGTTTTAATTCCACGAGTTCGAAGAACGAATGGAATTTGTACAAAAAGCTTGAACGAAAATTATCTGGTTAATTTTTAAGCACGAATGGTATTTAGGGAGAATATTTCACGAATTATAAAAATTATCACACATCTTATGGGTTTTTGGTTTTCTGTCAAACTCAATGATATGTGGTATATCTTGACTTACTGATAAAAAGTTCTCATGGGCCCAACCCGATACTATGATTAGTTTCCGAAATACAGGTGGTTTAATGTTCAAGAAATGTACACATTTTATATGCATTCACATCTACCTGTCACCTATTATTAGGTCTGTCAGAGTGAATTTCATTGGTTGTAACTAGTTTTCTGACTGTTTTCGACCAATCAAATTCGCTCTGACAAGTTTGTGATTTTTGCAAAAATAGACCTATTATTAGGTGACAGGTAGATGTGAATACATATAAAATGTATATGTTACTGTAAATGCCCGAAATTCGGTAAAACCTAGGATAAACGCGCTAAACCTAGGATTTACCAAAAGCAAGTGGTAAAAGCCCGAAAACTAGTTATTTTGCTATCATTTTGGACTTTTACCGGACACAAACAGTAAATCTTAGGATTTACCACACCGCATTGGTAAAAGTACGAATACCACTGATACGTTACAGAAATCGATATTTCTTGAGTCCTGGAGATTCCATCTCAGGAAATTAGCGGAAGAAGTGTAGTGTGAAAATTGTCGTTATATAGTGGCCAAGGATTTAAGGAATGCAATTGCATTCAAAAATGTTCCACCAAAAGATGTTTGTGCAAATTCTCTAAAATACTCTGAAATTCTAAATGCATGGAAGTTTCCCCTGTACCAATAAATAAATATTTCTATTAGTGTACAGGGTGCTGCAATTTGGAATGTTTTAACAGGAAAAACATACTTCCAGACCAGATAGAGGAAAATTGACTTAGACGTCATGGGATCGATTTTCGAGAAACGTCGATTGTCAAAAACCGTATCACGATATCTTCAATGGTACCATTGATACAGACTACAGAGCGATTTTCGATTTTCCCCCATTATGAAAAATCGCTATAAGTTTTTTATTTATCAATTTTTTTTATTTCTGTAAAAACATTATGTAGATAATTTTTTGAGCACAATCCAGTGGCGAACTCAGTTTTTCTCTATATCGCTCCAATTTCGAGATATCGACCAAAGTCCGATATTTTTAAATGAAACACCCTACATATTAATGGCCGCGTTCACCAGATACAAACGTTGGTAAACGGTTTGCGATTGTTCTGCTGAACGCTACGTTGAATTTATGTTGAAACCAAACATGTTTTGCAAACGGCCGCCATTTTTGCAAGCATAATTTGAGAGTGTTTATAATTGAAGACCCTGCTGCAACAAGGAGGTATCTGCATTTTTTGGCCAAAATGAGTTATCTGCTGTAATTGAAACAAAAAGTAATATTCTATCGTTTGGCGCAACAACGAGATTTCGAACTAAAATATTTGAGAGGGGGGAGAACCAGAACACATACATCCTTTTTTATTTGGTGCAATATAGACGTATCTGTAGCATATACATCCATATTGCACCAAATGACAAATTTATTTTACTTTGACAATAGCAGATATACCATATACTTAACCTCATGAATGCCCTATTATAGAAAAAACTGAGCTATACAGGGTTCCAACTATTTCATAGGGACAGCATTGATTGCTATTTCGGGAACGGTTAAAGTTAGAAGGGCGTTTAAATTAGAAAAAAGTTGCCATTTTTGAAGGATATTAAAAATATAATACTTGTGAATTTGAACTATGTCTCTAAAATCATTAGATTTTAAAATATTTGATCAAATTGTTTTTGGAAATTTTCAAAAATAACCCTGTATTTGCGAAAATAATAGAAATTTGGCAACAACGAAAATATATTTTTCTACTGACGTTTCATAATAGCAACTTTTCGATTGTCATTTTAGTTTTGAAATGACATTCTTTTGAGCACTCAGTGCGTAAAAGTGACTTTTAGCCACTCAGTGCGTAAAAGTGACTTTCCAGTGCGTAAAAGTGACTTTCAAATGCGTAAAAGCGACTTTCAAGTGCGTAAAAGTAACTTTTAAGCACTAGTGCCTAAAAGTGTTATTCATTGTTCAGAAATAAAAAACACACTAAATGCAAATTTGAATTTTGTTTTGTATTTATTATGAATATTAGTCACCAACATGAAAGGTGTCAAGCAAAAGCAGGCGACAAACATTGAAATAAAATTGTGTTTTTTTATTATGAAACGTCAGTAGAAAAAATCTTGTATACAATACGTTACGAAACGAAATCTTTTAGTCACTCGACGTGTTGTCCAACTCGGCTTTGCCTCGTTGGACAATTTTCACGTCGCGTGCCTAAAAGACACTCATTTCGCAACTTATTGTATAAATAGC